GATGCAGTGCGCAATATCAACAAGGGTGGTCCAGATCTCCTGGTTGGGGTTGACGTGTGGCAATACCGACTCGAGTATAGCTGTAGATGTTGTTGTAGCTTTTTGCCATAAGGTCGGTGCTCGACCCTCTTGTTGCCACACGTACTTCTCTTCAATCGGTTGTGCCAGACTGGTAAAAGCGAACGACAGTGCATCCGTCGTGTAGATCTCTTTCAGCTCAACGTTTTTGACGACGATGTCTTGCAGCAGCGTCATGGAGGCTTTTGAGAGTGCGACAAAAGTTGGCCCGCGCTTTTCCGGTAATTTAGCCAAGGAGGTGTACGGCAGCGTAATGAACCGGCCCAACATGCGTATTAGATACGGTGGAATGTCGTTGTCTTCTTCTGTTTTGACCATCCTTAAGCATTCCATCACTCGATTCTGGAGAGTGGTCATAGTGTCCAGATCCGAAGAGTAAGCGACTTCGTCCGAGTTGACAACGCAAGCTTCGAGGTTCGCAAGCATCAAAGGCAGATCCTTGTTAAGGAGCCGGTCAGAGAGGCGGTAGATGGCTTTGAAAGCCTCTGCATACGCGACGAAAGCGTCTTGGTTGTCCTCTTCGTGTACCTCTTGCCAAGCGTCTGAAGAGGAAAAGTAGCTTCTCCATACCGCTGCAGTCTTGAGAAGAGGATCGGTACTCCATACCTGAGCAGTATCGGTGTGGGAGAGAACACCTGTCATTGTGGCGAACACCGAAGCCCCTAGCGCATGCGAGTGGTATTCGAAGTAGCGGTTCAGGAGTTCCAGTAGTTCTGACCATGCGTCACCAAGCTGAGACGTATCCAACTTTTCCATGTAGGTAGTGTTGAGAACGGTCAGGGTCTGAAGAACCACCTTCGTAGTCTCATCCCATTCCTTGTGGTTGTCTTTGCGTGAAGTTTGTATCCGAACATCATTCTGGATGTTCAAGTTGGCCTCCACCATACCGAATAGGATTGTACGAAGGCAAAGCAACCAAACTTCCGATGACAATTGATCTGAACAGTTCTCGAAGATTCTCTGTATGGTCTGGATTGCAGAGTGCCGCACTTCGATGCGTTCATCCGTTGTGATGGATGAGAGGTTTAGCAAAACTTGAAGCCACAATGCCGCAGTCTTTCCTTCTTGTGAATGTGTGCTTACAGCATCCTCGACGTCTTTATTGTCATTGGTCTGAGTAACAACCTCCGCCAACGAGGACAAATCGGTCCGCGATTGTAGGTAGTCTGACACGTTCCAGAAGAAGGTGATCGCCTGTAACAAGTTAGATACGTATCACGCGTTAGGAGAATCACTCACGGTAAGAGACATGTTCAAATCCTCCCTTTGGGAACAGAACCTGCGCAGGAGTTCTAAGAGCGTTGAGAGGCAAGCATCGGGAACAGCAGTCATAAAATCTGAGCAGACGAGATTGGCTGTCGCAAAAGCCGATCGAGCAAGAGATCTTGATATGACATCTGTAGTCGAATTTGTGGCTTGACTGTTCCCAGAGATCTCGGCGCCTTTCGGGTTTCCCTGCGCTGATGGCAGTTTTTGTGTGAAAACGCTCATCAAGCTCTCAATAACAGAGGTCCAGCCAGCAACTAGGGACTCGCCGCATTGCTCAATCACGCTCTTGAGTGCTTCTAGAGCTATTTGATGTACCCGTATATCAGTGTCGCTGATCGTGTCTTTGTTGACCCCATCGTAATGATGGAGGTCGGTAATCTGCTTTTGCAGTGCAGCCAGTATGCGAGCCTGTATGTCTTCGCGTTGGTCGTCGGACATGGAGAGCTCAGCGATCTCCCTGACTGTCCTAGCTAAGATGTCGGCTGCCAGCAGCCTCGTCGGCGTCGCTTTTCGACTGTCAGTGGAGTAGCGTATAACCTCTCGAATCAGGATGTCCCATCCACTATCAGCAGGATCATATTGCGACAACCTGCTTTCGTTCAATGACGCCAGCTCTCCAATCTTGTTTAACGCAAATGCCGAGTCGCGGGAGTTAGCATCTGTATTGAGACCGATTCCTGATGCACTGCCGAGACGCCGATGTGAAACCTGAGGACGGCCGGAGGTGTTCGGGGTTCTTTGTCCGCTCTCTGATGACGATATCCCGTTTAGCAGTGAGCAAAGCGCTTGTAGTACCTCGGAAAAGGACTCATTCGGATAATCAATTGTACTTTCAAAGAGCCTGCGAGCAGCACTCTGGACAGCTGAAGTCTCTGCCTCTAATTTCTCTGTATTGGTCTCCATGTCCGCACGGATTCCAGATCCAGATGCGCGACTGCTATTCTGGCTCGACAACGCCATCACTAGATCAGCTACTTGCAGCGTCTCAAAGACGATAGACCATGCTGATTGCAGCGTTGGTCCTAGTGCAATTGCAAGATTGAGTAAAGCCCGCAGACACAGTAAGTTGCGAGGGCCCAGCGTGGGGGCTGTAACGTCGTGTGAAGGTCGCCTGTTCTTATCGGTGGACATTGAGGAAGTTTGGCTCACAAAGCTGTCCACGCTGAGCATCCCTCTCGCGTTAGAGAAGATCCCAGACTTCTCATTAGTAGGAGACGAAGCGTTGGCTAGCAGTAAATTCGAGGGGACAGCTGCTTTTCCCATGGTAGTGAGGAATGCATCTCGTGGTGTTGAGAGTCTGAGCAGTCCGGCAACCTGAGTAAACTTCTGTATGGCTCGGATCAGAGCCCTGTAGTAGTCTGTATCAAGCGTAGCATTAAGAAATGTCGAGCAGGTTGCAAGGACTGCTGGCCAGCATTCGGTGACCAAGTTTGTCGAGGTCTGCACGTACGAGTAAGCCGGGTGATCGGTCAGATCCAGAGGATTGACTGGTATAGTCTTTTTGCGGAAAGAATGAGTCCTTGAAAGCTTCCGAGTGTTTCGATCTGGCGGTGCAACATCCGTGTCGTCTTCATTCATTTCCTCGGCTTTAGTTTTCTTCCGGCTTCTGCTCTCGTGATGTACGGTAAGAGGAAGTACAAATTTTGCTAGACTTTCAGAAATGTTGGTGATGCATGTCAATACCAGGCTGTATATGTATGTTTCAGGTAATGCAGGCGGGTCGGATTTGTCGAGGTGTTCGATGCATGGAGTCTTGAGAGAACTCCACTGCATACTGATGCCAGAAGGACGAGCATTATTGCTAGTATCGCTCACAGAGCCACCTATGACGCCAGCTAATGCACCCGCTTCAGCGACAGCTTGATCCGATACCTCTTCTTTAAAACCAGCGGCAGCTGTTGACTGCTGACCTAAGCCAATCGCCGCTGGCTTTTCAGTCGCAAGGCGCACGAAAGCCGCTAGGTTGTCTCCAAATATGTTCTTCTTCCCGCTTTCTGCATCAAATAGGGCATATATTGCTAGGAGAAGTCTGGAATCGGCGTAAATGCTGCGGAACACCTCAAGGCAGAGAACTCTCTTCCATGCCTGAGAGGCCTCAGGATCGAGCATATGGTTCAAGAGACCGAGCGCAATCTCGCATTCGGAGGGAAGCGTGTCAAGGTGATACCGAATGATCAGATGTAGTATCCGAATGATGCGCACAGTCACCGCAAAGGACAGACGATCGGATAGAGAGCGGATGATCAGCGGCATTAACTGGGTTCGCATAATGTAAATCTGTTCCGGATGCGTCGTCATAATCTTGTTGTGGTTCGACAGGATTGCTTCGATCAGCTCCAACGTCGAGGCTGGCGGCAACGAAGCAAATCGCATGAAGACTGGCTTCTCTCCAACGATGAGTGCGATGAGATCGGTAAACATCTGAATTTCGTCAGTAAAGCTACTGGTACTAAAGAAGATGGCGGACCTTGTAGGCATCGTTCGCAGCTGGTCTGACTGAGACTTGGCCATCATCGCCTTTCACCTCGGTCACGGTAGGAATTTCCAAGGCTTTCTCTTCAAACTTGGTCAGCCTATAACACGTGTGTTCCTTGTTTCAGCATCATACCATCTTCGGACGCAACCCTGTCGAATACGACAATCACCAATTGTTGCAACGTGGCTGCAGCCGTGTTGCTGACAGCAAAGTTCTTCGCATTTTGGAGACTTGAACATATCTGCAGAACAGCGGATAATGACTCGCTGCGGATTTCTGCGGGATAGTTCTGAAGCAGTGAAGGTAGCGCCTGCAGTATCTTCAGCTGGATATCATGGCCTGGCAGCGTCAGCTATGTCGAAAGCGCTATGATCAGCCTTCATTACTCGATGGAACAGATTGCTTGAAGGCTTCAAGCACTTCTGTTAGCCGTTCTCGCGGTAATGCTCGCGAAACGCAAAGTCTCTGGAGACATGAAATTCCAGTAGATGCAAATTTGGCATTTTGAGTTCCGCAGGCAATCAAGAAGGGCGAGATGAAATGTGGTCGTCGGGAGAGATCTTGATTCCGTCAACACGTGCAGATCAAGTGACAGTAGGCATCTCACCAGCCGAGAGTTGGGCTTCTGAAGTATTGGAAAGCGATTTCAAGTCTTTCAAGGCCGTCTCTGCAGCATTGCGTAGCTCGGTATTCTTGCGTTTTGCATCCTGTATGAGGTTGCCTAGTTCAGCCGCCAAGATTTGAGCTGTCATTCTTTTGATATGAGCCGAAGCATCTGGACGATCTTTCCAGGCAAAAGAGTGACTTGAGAGTTGGGTATTGGGTTGTTGTTCTGTCGAATCGCTAAAGGCAACGTTGTCGCGTCTGGGGCGACGGGCCAAGCGATTCACGCGTGCCAGGTGAGACCCTGGTCCACGGGTGCCTCGTCATAACCATCGACGCTAGCGGGCCCGACAGGCATGTTTAGACAAACATCTATCCTGCTGCCACCCAGAACTTTACAATTGCGCTTAAGTCGAGACACTGCCAGCAACTTACACTCTAGCTATATTAGCTACAAACCCCAATCGAAAACGCTCCACAACCGTCTATAGCTGTCAATATCGCATAGCGGGGTCCATCCCACTTCCTCACGCGCCACACTTCTGTTCAGCCTTCACACATAACTACCGCTGCTATGGGCGCTAAGGTTCCGCGCAACTTTCGCCTGCTGGAAGAGCTTGAGAAGGGCGAGAAGGGTCTCGGTGCCGGTATGGTAGATCTGTGGTATAGCCGTGGGTAACAGGGTACTGAGAGTTTACAGAGGCCTGTTCATACGGTCTTGACAATGGCGACGACCTGCTGATGTCCGACTGGAACGGTACCATTCTCGGCCCACCACACGTATGGGCTCCTTTCTCCACGTCATGAGCTGCACACTGACCCCGTCGCAGAGCGTCCACGAGAACCGCATTTACAGCGTATCGATCCACTGCGGCCCTGACTACCCCGACACCCCTCCGGAGATCAAGTTCACAACCAAGATCAACCTACCCTGCGTCAACCCCCAGAACGGAAAGGTGCGATAGTTGGAGGCGTAGATACTTGGCGCATATTGACGATAGCAGGTCGACGGGTCGAAGCTGCCATGTCTGGCTCAATGGAAGCGCGATTTCACCATGGAGACGATACTGATAGAGCTTCGAAGGTTAGCACGCCCATAAGCTGAAATTTAATTGCATAAGACTAATTGCGCAACAGGTATATGGCGCTGCCTCAGAACAAGAAGCTTCCACAGCCACCCGAAGGCGCGATGTTCTAGAAGAACCGCGCGCAGCCTGACCCAGAAAGGATATATGGATCAGGGATGATATGGGCATAAGATATGATGCACGAAGGAAATGAATGCGCATGGAACGGAGTTATGGTCTGCTAGCGTAGCCATACAGCCTGACAAGAGATCAGGATTATCAACAACATATATTACTTCATTTTGCTCCTGTCTTGTTCTCTGCGGAGTCTCTGATGAAGCTTTTACAGCAGAATGTTGAAGTCAGTCACCAGCCTGGCAAATATCGAGTACCTACATACGCGCAATGCTGTACTTTGGAAAGAGGTAGTGCGCACGTGATATCCAACATCCCAGCCCAAATCCTTCGCGTTGCGGCGCAGGCCTCGGACCTCCACCACCGAGCCATCTCATGCATGCCCCGATTCCTCCAGCCTAAACGGTCGACACAACACCGCGTAGCAGGTTAGACAACGAGCCTTTTGGTAACTACCAATTAACTCTAATATCGTATCTAGCAATCGCTCTCTATCGAGCCTTGCTGTCGCGATGTTCCTCCGCTCCGCTCCCAGATGACGACCGAGTCTCGTTGTTCAACGCCATTCGCAACAAATTCCGGCGGAACAGGAAGATACAGAGCCCTTATCAATTAGGTCTGAGCTTCAAAGCTGGTTATGAGGTAGGTCTGTCACTGCAGCTTTGAATTCATCAATTGACAATGGATAGACACTCGACCATCTCGATGCCTCCGCTATTGGCAATACAGCCAGCGCAAGCACTCTGACGCAACTGATATCCCAATTGCCCCGCGGTCTAACACGCGCGCCTCCGATAAGACGGTACGAAAAGACGACGCCACCAGATCCTCCCAAAGAACGGCTTGCGTGCCTTCCACCCGAGAGAGCCGTCCTCAACGTGCGACCCTACGCAAAGACCTCTGGACCCCGCCGCGTCCCTATTCTCGCCTCCGCAAACGGCGTACCCTTCCTGCGCCTCACGAAGCCGCAACCTCCAGCACTAAGTCGCGTCATCCAACAGCGACTACGGCGCAAGAACGAGCTCTTCGACACGAGGGTCCTCCTGGAAAACTGGTGGCTGCCCATATGTCAGCAGGAGGACGTGTGGGACGTACTCATAACCGCGCAATCGAGGGAGCGCGAAGATACTGTGAAATGGCAAACTGCAGTTCGTGATTCATTGAGGGCGAACCAGGAAGCACACCAGGCGGACATTAGGAATGATATAGTGATGACGAAGAAGATGCAGAGGATCGTGGATATGGAGACTGAGCTTGCTCTCAAGGAGGGCCAGACGATTGTGAGGGGAAGGAAGAGGCATCCTCTACGAGTTATCAAGCCGGTATCATGAGCACAATATACTGTCTTATGGTTGTTCTATCTGCGCTTTGCAAGATGGGTATATGTTCGACCTGACATGCCATGCCAATGCACTGTAGTCACTATGAAGCCGCCTCGATCTTCAACTTCCCTACATCCACTCCGTCTACACCATCATCATCATCGTCATCATCATCCACCTTGCCGACCAAGCCCCGCTGCCACAGCTCCTTACCCGTCAACTTCTTCTCTTCCTTGACAATCCTCTTCTTCTTGTCCTCCAGCTCTTTCTCCTCTTCCTTCCGCCTCTTCTCATCCTCCATCTCCTTCCTAAACCTGTCTCGCCATGCGAGGAACGTCTCTCGTGTGACCGCCTCACCCTGGAACTTCTTGTTCTCTTCCTCCTCGGCTTTGGCCTTGGCGATATCGACGAGGGCTTGTTCCGCGTTTTGGCGCTCCGTTATGAGCAGCTCGGCGCTGTCTTTGAGGACGGTTACGAGGGTGAAGATCATGGCCATGCCGAGGTTCTCTTCTATCGTCTCCGTGAGCGAGTCGAGCAGGCGTTGTTTGTCTTCTTGTATGTCGAGGTATTGGTGTCGTGGCGCGTTGGGCGGTTGTGTTACGTCGAGTCGGGGGGCTTCGTCGGGGTAGTTGGGCGGGTAGGAGACATTTAGGATGATGACAGCTGGTGGACGTGAGTTTGGATCTGTCTGTAGAGATAATATAAGCGCATACGTTGCTCTTCCTCGGTTTCATCGTCTTCGTGGCGGCCATCGTCGAGCGTTATTGCGATTCGGAACTCTGTCTCGGAAACATCTGCGGAGTGTCAGTATATGGTAAGAAGACATCGCGCAAGGTAGCGCTACCTGTGATCTCGTCGGGGAAGATGGACTCGAGCACCTCACGCTCCTCTTTCTGATCTTCGATACCCATTGTGCAAATTAGTATGGGAATTAGTAAAGTGATGGCATCTGCAAGTGACGCTGAGGCTGCTCTGGCGGGGCGCGCCTTCCCCACGTTAGCTCCGTCCGACTGCCGATCTCTAGAATTTTTTGGGAATCTTGGACCGCTACATCATACATCCACAACACCACACAAACCTCACATCATGGCGAAAACGAAACCTACCGATCGCAAGGCGAAGAAGAGCGCGAAGAGTGGCGCGGTAAAAGAATCGAAGAAACCGAAGGCGTCACCAGAAGAACTTTTGATTCAAGCCGCTACCTTCTTACAAACGTCACAACCCGAAGAAGCGCTGGTCGCCGCACGAAGAGCACTCAACCTACTCCAGCCCGGTACATCGAAACCCTCTGCTACAGCGCTACCTGCACTGAACCTCCTCGGCGAAATCAACGTCGAACTGGGCGATCCAGACTCTGCGCGCGAGGCCTTCCAAGCAGCGATTGTAATCGACCCAGAAGGCGCAAACGATGGCGCTGAGAAGTTCTTATGGCTAGCGCAATTAAACGAGGAGGGAGGCGCCGAGAGTGTGCGGTGGTTCGAGAAGGGCATTGAAGTGCTGAAGAGGGAGATCAGTGAGCTGGAAGGCAAACGGGTGAAGAAGGACGAAGTCGAGGAGCTGCTAGAGGAGAAGAGGCAAAAGATAGCGAACTCGCTCTGTGGTATTGCTGAAGTCTACATGACGGATCTGTCCTGGGAAGAAGACGCCGAGGCGCGATGCAACGCTGCCGTCACCGAAGCACTACTTTTCGCACCCGAAAACCCAGAACCACTACAAACGCTCGCATCGATACGCATCTCGCAACTCAAGCCCGACGAAGCAAAATCCGCACTGACACGGAGCATGGATCTTTGGAAAGACCTCGACCCGGACGATCCCAAGGTCCCAGACTATTCGACTCGCATCAGTCTTTCTCGCCTGCTCATGGAAGCTGAGATGGAAGACGAGGCTATCGAAGTGTTGGAGCGGTTAGTGGGCGAGAACGACGGCAGTGTCGATGCTTGGTATCTGGGCGGTTGGTGCCTGCACTTGCTCGCGGGAAAGCAAAAGACCGAAGGAGAGGAAAAGGTTGCGACATCACTACTGCGTGCCAGTCGCGATTGGCTGGAGAACTGCCTCAAGCTCTACAACATGCTGGAGTGGGAGGACGAGCGGCTGAAGGAGCACGCGGATGAGATATTGAAGGAGCTCAACGACGTACTCGGTCCCTCGACCGGCGAGGAAGATGAGGACTGGGAAGACGCCGATGAGGAGATGGATGAAGACGATGATGACGACAATGAGAAGATGGACGGCACGTGAAAGTGAAAGTATAACTTTACAGGCCGGCTTGGCCGTGTTGAGGCCGCCGATGGTCAGCGATACGCGGCTCCGCTGTGAATGGGACCGAAATTGGGGATATTGGGCAGCAAGGCTGGGATGTCACGATCGAAGTAGTACAGGCTGAGTGTGCTGGGACATATCGGCGCACTATGGTACAAGCTGGATGTAGTGTAGATTTATTTGATACCCAGGGTGCGTAGATGGATAGCAGACGCGCGACCTGAGGCAGGCAGTTGGCAGCACCAGCGTGGGACGGGGCCCCTGCATGTGGGATGCCGCCGCGAACCTATGTAGGATGGGCACTAGGATGCTGTCAGCGGTGCCGTGACAGCTCCTGAATAGACGAAGCCACACGCCAATCATTCCCCGCTTTGCGAGCTACTGAGGTCGCGTCCCGCTTCGAGGTGCGAAGGCGAAGCAGAGGCAGAGGCGCATCGGCGACGTGAATACAACGTGTAGGACGAGTGCGCCAGTCGGTTGCAGGGCAGGCAGCCCATTGGCGCGCTGCGGTGAGGGTGTAACACCAAGGTGCGGTGGATGGGATGAGACATGGCCTGCGCTTGGCAGCTCAGTCGACGTCGCCGGCGCCGCCAACGCCACGAATAATCAATCATGCTCATCGAGACCAAGACCGCCCTGGGGAGTTGCCGCAAAGTCAAAGTGACGCTGCGCCATCGCCCTCGCCCGCCGACGTGGTGCCTTTAGATCCCAACCCACAAAAGTCAACGCGCCCTCGCCGGCCGTCCCTCGCGCCTGCTCCGACAGATGCTCAGCAAGCCCCACACCCGTACCCATCGCATTCGACGAAGAGTGCGTCGCAAACCCTCGGCCGCCCTGCCATGCCATGATCTGGTATCTTCTCTATCCGCTGCGTGGGTGAGTCGCTGCTGCCCCATACCACGCGTCCGCCTCTAAACCCACCTCTAGTACCACTGAACCACCACGGCTCGACACCTCGCACCCCATCCGCCGCGCCTTCCAGGCCCACGGCACTGCCACGGCCCGCCATTGGCTGCTTTCCATTGTCCTGACCATCACCGTCTCCGTCCTGCTCTGCTACCAGGCCGTCTTCCAGGCCGACAGCTCCGCCGCCGCTGCCCTCCGCAACCTCCCCAAGCATGTTTGGACATCGACCACCGAGGTCGAGGGCGAGCGCCCCGCCGATGTCGTCGTGCGCCAGGTCTGGGTCCACGGCGACTACATGAATGCAATTGCCCTGCCGGTGCTGCGCGAAGCTATGCATGTCCAGGAAGTGCTCATCAACGGTGGTTTTGACACGCGAGAGAGCGCTGCGTACGGAGACCAGCACATGCTCCAGCGCGATGCCCCGGGCTGCCTCGTCGCACCCGCAGGAGAGAAGTGGGGCTGGCACTCGCCGTTGATGTACTGGGACTGCTCGCTGAGCGCGCTGGAGAAAGACGACAACCTCCTCGATACCATCAACGCCCATAATCGCATCCGCTCGGCGCTCAATGTCACCCTGCGCCCGAGCACCGTCTTTGCCGGCAAGTCCTTCTCGGCTACCAAACTTCGCGCCGCGGATGCCTTGGTTATCACGCTGTTCGACCAGACCAACTCGAGCTTGGGAGATACTTGGGACTCACGGTCGCGCCTTCTGGCTGACAAGCTGGACCCAGACTGGACCATCTTCCCGCCCGACGGTCAGGTCGGGCGGAGTCGACTCTACGAGTTCCGGTTCAAGCCGATGACTTTGAACGACGACTTGTTCTTAGCAGCGTCCTACCTGGTGACCGCGGTTTATGTCATATGGAGGATGATGCAGCTGCGAGCAGTCAAGAGTTGGTTCGGCCTGCTTGTGACCATATGTGCCAAGGTAGGCTCACTCCCACATGCTACTACTTCCATTGCTAATGTTGAATAGATGTCCATCTGCGTCATCGCCAGTTTCACACTCTGTACCTATCTTGGAATTGATTTAGCGCGAATACCCCGCCCATGGTTTCCCGGAGTTGTTTTTTGTTTTGGATTGGGAAATATGTGCGTACACTGCTGCTTCTCCTCCGACCTGGCTGACACGACTAGATTTCGTTTGATTAATGTCGTCCTCGAGACACCCCCGGAGATGCCCCCTCACCAGCGAATCGGAAATGCGCTTGGTGAAGTCGGTCACCTATCCCTTGCTATTGCTTTCCAGAATTTGGCCCTCTTGTACATTTGTTCCCGGCTCGTTTCACCCTGGGTAGCCGACTTTTGCGTCTTCGCTGCCGTCACTCTAGTGTTCGACCTTGTTTTCCACTTGACCTTCTTTGTTGCTGTTCTCAGCGTCGATGTGCAAAGAATGGAACTCTCAGACTCCCTGGACCGCGCCGATCTCAATCAAAACAACAAGAAAGGATCGGAACGGCAGTCATGGCTTGGAGCGCTGCTGGAAGGTACCCTACCCCTCAGCACGCGCTTTGCTGGCACAGTCGCGATCTGTTCCATTATTCTCGCTATCAACTGGCACTTTTTCGACAACGACGGCAAGCAATTATCCATCGATACGCTTCGCCAAAATCTCACGATTAGGAGACGGAGACGCACCCCTGACAGCACATGGAGCCCACCGCCAATCAATCAGGCTAGGACACCCGCTGATTGGCTTAGGATTCAGGATCACAATACTGCCCGGGAACTATTTGGTTTCATCAAGCCGGGTGCTTCAAGCTTCGTAGCCCGTATCTACGACCCCATCCTCGTGGTTGCGAAAGGGGCATACGGGCGCGACCGACCTCAGCCGCCGCTGTCTTTCACCGATGGCGTCCGCCGCTTTGCGCAAGGACATGCGTTCCCGGTAGCCTTGCTCGTCGTTACGTTTATCGCGGCTGTAACATTATTTATGAACTATCTTCTCTGGACTGGACTTCCGAAAACTTCTGAAGAGACAGAAGATGACGAAGTCACATTGTCTATCAAGACATTGCCGACGCCGCAGAACCTAGACGTTGTGCAATTGGCTTCTTGCTCGAGAGGCCATCTTGCCAGCATATCTCTTGACCGGAGCACTGCACTATGGCTACATGGCCGCGGAGGGTATCTGCACACAACGCTGCAAACAGCAACGATGAAGCCAAAGCTCTGGCCCATACATGCTACGGCTATGGACGATGGTGGCAACATCCTTGCGATCTGTGCAGACACTGGTCAGATCGGCTTATGGGATATCCCAGCATCACGGTTCCTTCTGTTTCCCAAGATCGACATCCGTGGACAGGCGCCCGTTCTCTTTACCTTTGCCTACCTCAAGACACGTTTAGATGTCGAAAAGCTCTACCTTATCATCATCACTCCAGACGGACACCTGACCAGGCTCGAAGCACGGACAGGCATCCACTATACCAGGCGCATATCAAGCAGTCCCATCGTCTGCACCACAGCTTACACCTCACTCAAGGGCGACACCAGCGTTGTGTTCGTAACGAAGCCTGGCGAAGTCCACATCCTGCCACTCATGGAGGAGTGCAATACGATGTCCGAAGTAGTCGCCGGACTTGACCCCGGGCCACCTCCAGGCAGCAATCCCGCGAAGATTCGATGTATAGAGGCTGTTCCTAGTCTGGGCCTCATCTTTGCACTCCGCGACGAGGAGGCTGAGATATTCGACTTCACGAGCCGAGCGCTCGTGCACTCTTTCCAGATCGGCCACGTCAAGCCGCACTCCTTCAGGGTCTTGTATCCTATGCGACGGACATGTCAATGTGGAGCTCCAACAGTGAACTCGCTTGCTGTCGCATACACAGAGCAAGACACAGACCACATGATTATGCAGAGTTTCTCCCTCGACGACAACACGTCGTCACAAATATGTCTCGGAAAACCACTGGACAGGGAGAAGCACGGATGCCGGGGGCTCGACCATGCAAAGGAGGCCGTACATTACGTCGAGCCTGTCGGAGCTTGGGAGGCGACAGATGCGCTCAGTGTCGTGGGGATCAGGAGGTGTTTACAGTCACCTACGCCATCGTCGACGACTTCAGGCACTGATGAATCTAGTCAAAGCGTGGATCCAGTGGCGCTTGCGTCGGCGCTCAAGCAACGAGCTCAAAACCAAGGCAGTCCGAAGGCCACCAATTCCTTAGGGGGAGTCTTTGCCAAAGGCAGTCGAAGAGGCTTCGTTGGCGACAGTGACACATGGGAGGCCTGGACACTCTCAAGCACAGGCGACTTTCGCTCACGACCACTCGTTCCGGATAACCTGGACGGCACCACAGAGGTCCCTTATGAAGACGAGCTTTTCGTAACAGCTCCTGGGCCAATGACTAGACTAGGGAAGCGTAGTGTGGTCGTCGGCTTTGGCAACACTGTGAAGGTTATCACGTTGGGTAAAGAGTCGTTCGATGGCTTGACAAACCTCCAGAGTAACGCCATGGATATTGGCCTTGGGTCGTACAAGTGGAGGGCCCGCAGAGGCACCGGCAGGAAAGTACAGTGAGGATTTGCATATGTTTTGGCGCAACGGTACAGGTGGCTCAGGCTCTGGGTGGTGGGTGTGATCTACGTGCAACTTCAGCTCTGGTGTTAGACTACGGATATACCCTATGCGCAGTAAGCGCGGCGTTTTCAGTGAGGCTCTTTCGGCCTTGGCCTCAGTGGGGAGATTAGCAATGTACTATATGATTGTTCGCAGCGACTGGAGGCTTCACTTGAACGTCATGGAGCCAGCGTGTACATCAACCCGTGGCAATGATCCATCAAGCAGGTCGTTTGCCGACACCCAATCGGCGGCATGAAGCGCACCTATAGCTTGAATAGCGAGAGTCGAAGCCCCGCAGCCGACGTCGATGTGCATAGACAGCCACAAGTCGCACATACCGAGCCGGCTATCCGCCTAGGCAGACGGCAGTGGTGAGCTGGCTGCATCGCCCTGTGTCACAACGAGGGACAGGATCAAGCTTGGGTTGGACCGCGCGTTGGGTGCACTGCATTGATGTCGGCAGGCCGAGGGACGTCATGTGGCGTGTGGCTGAGGCAAGGGCAGGGTCCTCAGACGGTGTGGTTTTGCGGGGCTAGAACAGGGGAAGAGCCCTTGAGAAAAGGGCCCACGCGACCCCCGTGGGTAGTCGATCGAATCGCGGCACATGCTCAGTCCAACCCTCCCTTCATACAAGACATCCCGACCGCCCAGAGCCGCAGCTGTCTCCCTTTTTCTTTTGCGCGCAGCCATTGCTATCCCCAATTGGTACGTCATGGCCCCCTCCGACTGCGAGCGCTGTTGTTCAGAATTTACCCTTTCACATGCGCCGAAGCCACCATCCATGTCCTCTCGACTCTCCCACCGCCCAGCCAACACCACACTGCACCATGAGACTAACCATGGCATAGTTCAAACATCATTATGAGTAAAGCACAATCACCATACGACTCACTCCGGAACATACCGCAGTACTACGACAACTCGGACTCGGAGAAGTCGGCCCTCAACCTCATACTTGCGCTGCGGCCAGAATGGGAGGAAACCAAAGACACAATTGAGTTTGTGCGGTTCACCGATGGCATCACGAACACGGTATGCATATGCTCGCAGCCATGCACTGGCAACGGCCCCCGTTTCTGCACGCATGGCTAAGACGACGGATAGCTTCTGAAAGCGGTGAACAACCTGCCCGGCCTCTCCAAGACCGAGGTCGACGACGACGCGATACTGCTGCGAGCATACGGAAAGGGAACAGACGTCCTCATAGACCGCGAGAGTACGTGACCATGCATCGCCGCCACGACCGAGACTAAACAAGAAAACTAGAGGAAACCCGCTCCCACTCGCTGCTCGCACGCCACAATCTCGCACCTTCTCTCTACGCGCGGTTTGAAAATGGTCTCCTATACAAGTACATTCCAGGCGACGTATGTACGCCTGAAGATTTGCGACGGCCAGACGTCTGGCGAGGAGTAGCACAGAGGCTGGGAGAATGGCATGCCACATTACCTATATCGAGTATTAGCAGCACATGTCCCGCGCCCGCACAACTCACATCTCACAACAACAAGCGTGCGTCTCTAGCCGCCATGGCGACCCTCACGCCAGGCAAGCCCATCCCGAATGTGTGGACAACAATGCAGAAATGGATCCTCGCGCTGCCGACCGACACAACGGCGCAGGCCGAGCGGCGCGACGAGCTCATGCAGGAACTCGAAAGCTTAGTAGCGTTATTGGGTGACACGCCCGGTGTAGGCGGCTCGAATCCGTTTGTCTTCGCCCATTGCGACCTCCTCTCCGGCAACGTGATTCTCGAGCCTACGCCGTCCTCTGCCTCTGCCTCGCGCCGTTCTAGTGCGTCGAGCGGGTCAGACTCGCCCGACACGGCAGCTGCATGCGTGTCGTTTATCGACTACGAGTACGCGACTCCTGCGCCTGCTTCCTTTGACATTGCAAACCACTTCGCCGAATGGGGCGGTTTCGACTGCGATTACAACGCTATGCCCACACGCACCACTCGCCGCGCTTTTCTCCGCGAATACCTCCGCAGCTTCAACGCGCACCAGAATAAAAGTTACAAGGAGGAGGAGCTCGAGATGCTGTTTGAGCAGGTCGATCGCTTCCGTGGCGTTCCAGGGTTTTACTGGGGCATCTGGGCGTTGATCCAGGCGCAGATCTCGCTCATCGAGTTCGACTATGCGAGTTACGCTGAGATACGGTTGGGCGAATACTTTGCATGGAAGAAGACGCTTGATGGCGGGGTCGAGACGGAGAACGAGCGTATGGTGCTGAGGGAGAAGGTTTGGGCGTCAGAAGAGTAGGACATGGTATGACGTTGCCGGCATGGGTATGCCTAGGAGTTTGGAAGAGTGGAGAAAGCTGGTTCGGCTGAACATTCAACATGCGATTTTCCTTATTGTTACATAGGGGCGGGCGCCTTTTTTTCTTGTTCGCTATCAGCTAGAGCACTCACCTTGTTCGCCGTTTTCTTTTTAAGCACGCTTAGTACGTTTAATACCAACTTAGAGCACGTTCGTTATTGGACTGTTACCAACACGGGATCCTGGAGCCTACATCGATGTTAGGTCACCTACTTTGCATATGTTTATCTCAATGAAGTCTCCAGGTCTGTTCAGTATTTCTTCTTGTTGAGGTGGCTGCAAAGCCCTGATCTCCTGGTCTTAGATAGCACTCGAATGCTTTCATCTACTTGAGACCTGGTAGCACATCTTTGAGAATCAAAGAAGCAGACCAACAGCTAGACAATATATTACCTGCCATGCGTCCGGAGTCCAGGCCACTTGGAAAGCCCTTGTGCTCGACTTCTCCGCTTCCTGTAGTGTCCTGTGCATAAGACCTCCCCACTGCTCCCGGGCCCATAACACATCATCCTTCCACCACGGCTGTCAAGCCTACATATGGAACCCTGTCCCACAATCTTCTCCTCTCATTTTCGCCTGAAAAGGGCGCTGGGTATATGGAAATAGAAGCGTATCCCGGATATCCAATCATAATCTCACACTAGACACGTTAGCATAATCCCTTTTCTCCCATTCCACAATCTGGAGACATACCATCCAGATAATCCGCTGCAATCAACAACTCCAGACATAGCTCTGGCGGGATGTCCATATCTGACACGTCTTTGCTTTCCGCGTGCTTCTGGTTGTAGTAGAGGTACTCGCAGACCTTCTCTAGCACCACACCACTACGTATCACTATTAGCCTCTTCTCTTATGATGTATCTTCTGGTGGGAATGTGGCGGCCCGGTGAGGGATGGGAGGATGATCAAGGGCGGCGTACTTGATCGTAGGCAGGTCAACGCGGTTCTGTGCGTTTTCCCGGAAGCCAGCTGTTGGTGCGTTAGTCGAGTTTTGTAATCATGTCTGTGGGAAACAGTGACTCACAAAGTGGATCCAGTGCTTTCTTGATCGTGCCTGCTATACAGGCTGCTGAGCGGAGGATCTTGAACTCGAAGCCGTCGTTTGAGACGAGGGTGACGTATTCGGTGGGTTTGTCGTCTGTCATTGTGATGCGCGGTATGGAATATAAGTCTGATAGCTTCCGAGTGAGGTCTGAAGGCGAGATGTTTAATTATAGCGGCGTCGAGTGGGATGTTGTGTGAGAGATGGTGGATATCGCGGGGAAGTTGCGGAGGCGCGCGCGCTGTCACGTTTTCTCGCGTGGGCGAACGTCGAGATGGGGAGTGGATGGCTTACATCACCCATCTACATTAGACTATACCTTTTCAATTTCTTGTAAAAGCAAAGCCATCACGAGGGACCACTTTGAAAGAAGATTCAACCCCAGACGGAATTCTCTCCACGGACGACTTGACCGCATTCCAAAACACAAAGTGCCCATCCCACCACCATGGCGCACCGCCCACGACACGTCCTCATCACAGGCGGCAGCCGAGGCATCGGCCTCGCAATCGCACAACTCTTCTCCAAAAACGCATACCGCTGCACCCTAATCTCGCGCTCCGAACCCGATCTAAAAACCGCCATAGCAAGCCTAACACCCCTCCCATCCACCTCATCACCAGATTCACCTTCAAATACAGAGACACATGACTCTGCAGAACCACCATCATACCAACACGGCTACATCGCAGGCGATATATCGCTAGGTTCCAACTTCTGGCACCTACACCCCTCGCGCCCTTTCATTGCTCATCTACCCAAGCCAGAACGAACTGCGTTCTCGACACATCCTTCGCGCATCGACGTGGTTGTAAATTGTGCGGGTGTCACGCAGGCGAAGCTCTTCTCGGGATTGAATGAAGAGGACGTGGAAAGTATCATTCGGACGAATCTTACTTCTATGATGCTGGGGACCAAGTTTCTGATACGGTGTGTACACCCAAATGTGTTTTACGCTTGTTATGTGAGGCCCTGTTTTTATGTGCGGTCTGTTGACTTGTTTACGTCTGTAACAGGAATGGGTATCTGAGAGGTAGGAGTCAAGCTGAAGATGAAGATCCTGTCATTATCAATGTCAGTTCGCTGCTGGGTTTGCAAGGTGGTTATGGAGCCGTTGCGTATGCGGCGTCGAAAGCGGGTGTCTTGGGGTTTACGCGTGCTTTGGCTACAGAGTATGCGAGTCACAAAGTGCGGGTCAATGCTCTTGTACCTGGATACGTGGAAACGGACATGACAAAAGGTACGCATGGCACGATGATGTGAAAGAAGATATCCTCTAACGATGGCCAGACTTGAATGCCACTGAGCTTCAGCAACGCATCCCGTTGAATCGTTTCGGCAACCCCTCAGAGATCGCTCACGCAGCATTGTTCCTCGCAGAAAACCGATATGCACATAACTGTGTGTTGAACTTGGATGGCGGCTTATCTGCCGTCTGATTCCATTAACTTTACTACGCTGGTTGATATTTTTCCCATTCAACTGCCATTTCGGCCTTGCAAGACGGCCCAGTGGCGCTCTCCAGATGTGCTTCCTTCCACCAAATGATCCAGACTGAGGTATGTAACCAGTGAGTCTCCCAAAAGACGCCCGTGCCAAACGTTTCCATGCGACTGATTGGTGTATAGTACAAGAAAAAGGAAATCTATATGCCGTTTGCGCTTCGGTGACGCGCACTTTGCTGGACTGATGTTCGTGGTGGGAGGAGTAGAATGGCTGTCAAAGACGATTGAGCGCTGATGATCCAATGGCGGGACGAGAAGAATGAAGCATATCGAATACTCCAATAATCGTCTGTAGACGACCAAAACGATCATGAGGTCCAAGGTAAAGACGATACGCCAAGATGCGGCCAGCAACAAAACTTCTGTCGTGGGCTTATTCAGTCGTCATCGATGACAATCGCTCCGTCCTTGTCATCCTCGATGGTTATGTGGCCATCGTCTTTCTTCTGCGACTCTTCCATGACTTTGCCCTTCTTTCGGACGAGGTCGTCCTCCAGGCCTGCTTGGCTGGCTGTGCGCTTCGCAGCGCCGTTCGTGCTTCCGTTGGTGACACCATTAGTAGCGGTGCCGTTGACAGTCGCATGACCATTGGTCTCTGGCGCAGGTGCCTTCGGTTTGCTCGGAATCTTGATCTCATCAGGTAACCTAAGTGAGTTCGCGTTCTCGGTGAATTCTGTGTGTATGATGCAGAGCACTAGATCAACTTTTGCGTCTTCTTCCGAGTCGTCAGAAACCGTGAGGAAGGTGTCGTTCTTCAAGTTGAGTTCCTTAAATGTCTTGTCGAGATGAATGTCTTCGTCCATGTCGTAGAGTATATCCGAATCGCGCTTGACGCTGAACTCTTCTCCGTACCCGAGCCTCTCCTTCAGGACCATGTTGATCAGATCGCTTAGCTTCGCGCGCGGTGTATCGACGTGCAGGGTGGCATAGCATACACCACAGGTCGCACAGTGGGGGTTCGGCGGTCGGAGTGATTCGCTTGAAATGACGCGCTCGGTGCTACGGGTGAGGAAGACCATCTTGGCTTTGTCGAGCTGGTCGCGCATAACCTTGAAGGCTTGTAAGACGCAGAGACTGGCGGTCATGGCGTTTGTTGTCGCAATGGCGGGGATGATGTTGCCAGCCATTTCTGTAACCAGTTAGCAGCTATTCCAGCCATGTGTGGGCGCTTCCTTACGCTTGATATCAAACTTGGATCGCATCTCGATGCCGAAGATGTGTGAGCGCAGATTGGCACTCGCAACGACAAAGTCCAGCGTATCCACATCGTCCTTGTCGAAGCTGAGGATAGGTGCCGCATTGCCAACGTCGGCATTTGCGCGCGTCTCTTCCAGCCGGGTGCTGAGTCGCTTGATACTGTCCACGAAGACGGCGAAGTTCTCGGCTACATTCCATGTGACTTGGTCTTGCTGCGCGATTCCCGCGCCCACACCCAGCGATTCTTGCATAAGCACGTCGTAGTCCAAGGCCTCTGGCGCCCGTTTGGTCTTCCACATGTCTTCCATGCTCCGCAACCGCTCAATGTCCTCTTTGAACACCTTGTCGAACACCAGTCGTGAGAAGTCTTGGGAACCCATGGAATCGCGAATGCGCTTCAGCGCTTGTGCCTCCTTCTGCAGATTCGCGACTTCGCTTGCGTTGTCGGCATCTTCGCTGTGATCTAGTTCGGGCGCTTCGTCCTCCGAGGTGCCAAAGATTTCGGCAAACAGATACGACTTTCCCCATACTATGCAGTGGATGGGTTGCGAGGGTGTGCTTCGGATGGTGCATACGGGGAAGGACTTGGGCGCGGCTTTTGGCGTGCAGTCGTAGCATTCGGTTTCGCCCTATAATACAATTAGCTCAATCGTTCAGTAAAATAGTCGTATTGAGGTCGCGCACCCGCTTGATAACCTGGACCTGTCCATTGAAGCCAGTCGTGCCACTCTCGATCAACGGCACATTGGCGGCAAGGCACATCCTGTTGACATGTCGCCGCGCATCGAGGTTGTCCAGCGCATTGAAGACGAGGCCGAAGCTCTGGAACCACGCGACGTTGAACTGGCCATCCTTGATGTTGTCGTGGTACGCAACGATGCTGACGTCGGGATTGAACTTGCCGGCCGACTCTTTCGCAACCTATGAGCTGTCAGCGCAACGTCTTTCAACTACTTGGGGAGGTAGTTCCTGCCGTACCAGTGCTTTGGACTTCTTGATGTGCTCATTGCGGAACAGGAACTGGCGGTTGAGGTTGCTGAGATCGATGGTATCGAGGTCGACGATGTGTATCTCGCCGAAGCCGGTGAGAACGAGGTTCTTGAGAAGTTCGCAGCCGATGCCGCCAGCTCCTACCATCAAGACGCGTGACTAAAGCGCATTAGCGACTGCCGTATGCCCTGTTTGCGCGTGGTTGCAGCTACCTCTTTGATGCGCTGATGGAGCGTGCCACCGAGGCTCTGTCGAGCAAACTTGTCGCGTGCCATTGCGGGTTCGGGGGTGGGATAGGCGCGAGCGAGGTTGTGGTGCGGGCGAGGCTACGACATGCGAAAGTTGGCAAGGTGCCCGTCTCAGGTGAAGGCGACAGGTGAGAGACGTCAGTGCAGCTGGTAGCGCCGCTCCACTGGGCCTGCGCCGCTCGCGTTCAGCCTCCGAAGCTTGGCACCTAAACGAGCGCCCTATGAGTGGATCGTGGGCCTCTGAACTGCCGGGACACACTCTGGCTGCTGCTCGCTACGACAAAAAACTTGCTTGGGAGCCCGGTGGAGCTTACTAACGACATATACGAGCCGCCGCAGAAGTCCCATTCATCACGACTACCCGAACCGGAGCTAGCGCACACATCCGTCCATCATCATGTCGGACGACGAAGTTGACCACGAGCTACTAGACCTCATGCGGAAGCATTGGGGTGGTGGTGCCAAAGAGGAAGGTCCGCCAGAAACAAAAGTTTTGGAAAATGCCCAGTTCATTTGCGATAACAGCATGGACGTTGCCCTCGACATGCGCTCTACCAAGGTCGCTGCTCAACTTGTTCTTGACGAGATGGAGAAGCGCGAGTATTCCACCAAAACATGGTCAGAGCATGAGCTGCACCCCAAAGCAAAAGACGAGAGCACTGTCAACTTCATCTTTACAATGGATTTGCTCAACTTCAGCTTCTGGAGCGAAAAGAGCGACGAGGAGCGCTTCGCAGTAGTCTACAAGGGAAAGAGATGGACAGGCTACTGGAGTCTAGTTGCAATTCTAAAAAGAGCGTTGGAGCAAGACATACCAATCACTAGTCCGGAATTCTGGGTTGACGAAGAACTGTGTTCGGATGAAGTATTGCGAACCGTATTCTCTTCTGGTACCGACGAGGAGATCCCCATGTTCGAGCAAAGGATGAGATGTCTAAGAGAAGCAGGCCAGATCCTAGAGGAGGTGTGTTTGTGATGAACCACCAACACAGAAGAGCAAGTTGACTTATGACTGACGTTGCAGGAATTTGACGGTAGTGTCATCACACTCATTGAAGACGCGAACAACTCCGCTGCCGGCCTTGTGAATCTACTCGCCGAGAAGTTCAACTGTTTCAGAGATGAAGGTAGGTTCGAGAACAAGAAGGTGCGCTTCTTGAAGCGAGCCCAAATCTTCGTTGCAGATCTGTGGGCTGCGTTCAATGGCGAGGGATATGGCGAGTTCAACGACATTGACAAGATCACAATGTTTGCAGGTAAGACACCCCTGGCTCTGGCTGAATCTATAGTCCGACTGACTGATGCATCTGCAGATTACCGTATTCCTCAAATGCTACACTCACTAGGCATAATCTGGTACTGCCCGCCTCTCGAGAACAAGGTACGCCGCCTTGAGACCATCGAGTCTGGCCACTCCTGGGAGATGCAGATCCGAGGTTGTAGTATCTGGGCTGTAGAACTTCTCCGCAAGGAGATTATGAAGCTGAAACCGGACGCCAAGGTCAACGCTATCCTCATTGACTTCTTCCTGTATGATCTTGCGAAGGAGAAGGAAAAGGAAGAGGCGGACGTCATACCACACCATCGGACGAGAAGCATATGGTATTGAGAGCCAAGAACAGCGGTGCACATGAAACTGAATCACACCTTTGGGCGCCCTATCGCTTTCTGATCGGTGAGAATTAGTAGTTGGTCACTTCGTGGAGAGGTCAAAGGCGGTGGGGTCGCTTCGAGCATTCGCCACTTCCAAGTTTGCGCAACTTCCAGAGACAACGCACATTTCAGTTGTCGCATAACGGCACAACACCAACCGCTGGATTCGCTATCGTGTCTTGTCCGCGCGACAGGCTGAGGCTGGGGCATGCAATATCTTCTTGGCACCGTTACGCCTTCCCGGTTATCGTTAGACGCCAACGGTAAGGCTGGCCATTCAACCCCCGCAACGGCCTTACCTAACCCTGGTCTCCAGTATTCGTAGACAAATTACGATCATACTGGTGATCGTTATAGCACGGATAAAGCCGCCGGTCACACATTTTCAGTAAAGCAAGGGTTTGACAACCGGGCCTATTTGCCAATTTCGGTGATTCGGGCGGTGTTTGCACGATAGCAGCGCAACGATGAGCAAGTGTGATCCACACTCCATGTCAGCAGTATCTCTTGAAATATCTAGGCACTTGGCCATCTGTCTAGGAAATTTCCTTTCTTACCGACTCTCGCTTCATTCATTCTTTTCATTTCGTAAGGTTCCGTTAGCGGCCTAGCTAACGAGCAGGTGAGAGTGGTGGCTTAGCTCATTCACATTTATCTACAAGTGCTCACCTGGCAAACATTCGCTCTTCTTGAAATTCGACCCGGAATCCAGTCCAGCCAGCAGCAGCTCCTCTGACCAGAGGCTCCCACTTAACGATGGGTAACCAACAAAGTTCTGCCGTCCAGCATTGTCTCGAGCAAGCTGTCGGAAAGGACCATGTCGCCTTCAAGAACACACCACTCTACCAGATCTCACACGTCAAGCCCTACAACCTCGGTATTCCGGTGACACCAGCGGCGGTTACCTACCCCAAGACGGTGGACGAAGTCTCTGCGATCGTCAAATGCGCAGTCGACAACAGCCTCAAAGTTCAGCCACGTTGCGGTGGACATTCATATGGCAACTACGGTATCGGCGGTCAAGACAACACCATTATAGTCGATATGAAGAACTTCCAGCAATTCTCTATGGACAAGTCCACCTGGCAGGCCACAATCGGCGGCGGCACGCTCCTTCGCGACGTCACTGAGCGACTACACGACAACGGTAAACGCGCCATAGCCCATGGAACTTGTCCACAAGTCGGAATCGGAGGTCATGCAACGATAGGCGGCCTGGGACCGACTTCACGCATGTGGGGCACCACTCTCGATCACGTTGAAGAGGTGGAAGTAGTCTTGGCGAATTCGACAGTGGTGCGCGCTTCCGAGAAGCAGAACCAAGATATCTTCTTTGCGACAAAGGGTGCTGCAGCCGGTTTTGGCATAGTCACAGAGTTCAAGATGCGCACGCAGCCCGAGCCTGGCGAAGCAGTACTCTACTCGTACAACTTCCACGGCGGCTCTTCGGCCTCCCAGGCTGACGCATTCAAGCAGTGGCAGAAGCTCGTATCCGACCCGAGCCTTTCGAGGAAGTTCGCAAGCCAGTACATTCTCACCGAACAGCTCGGCGCCATCATCACAGGCACCTTCTTCGGCAGCCAAGCCGAATTCGACAGTCTGAACATCACATCTCGTCTGCCAAAGAGTACGACCTTGGAATCGATAGAGCTCAAAGACTGGCTGGGTGTAGTAGGCCACTGGAGCGAAGACATTGCTCTGGAGATTGTTGGCGGTATCCCAGCCAACTTCTACGCGAAATCTCTTTCGTACACGGAGAAAGATATCATGCCCGACGAGGCCGTCGACAAGATGTTCAAGTACCTCGACGAAGCAGACAAAGGCGGTGCACTGTGGTTTATCATCTGGGACCTTGAGGGCGGCGCTATCAACGACGTCGCGCCTGATGCTACATCCTACGGCCATCGTGACGCGCTGTTCTACCATCAGGCTTACGCTGTTAACCTCTTTGGCAAGGTCAGTCCCCATCTCATCTCAAATAGTCTAGCAAGCATACTCACATCACCGCAGGTTAACGATAAGACTCGCAATTTCCTCAACGGCTTGAACAACGTCGTTCTCGATGCGGTCCCCAACCACAACCAAGGAGCGTATGCAGGATATGTGGGTAAGTTCTGACTGTACGAAGTGCATGTGAGACATATACTGACTTCGTACCCCTACCTCTGCAGATCCTGCCCTGGGTGAGAACAGCGCGAGTCTGTATTGGGGTGGTAATGTGGAGAGGTTGGAGCGGATTAAGGCGGAGGTTGATCCGTTGGATGTGTTTCACAATCCGCAGAGCGTGAGGCCGGCGAAGAGATAGTTGGAGAAGAGGGTGCTGTTTTAGATAGAGGGGTGTGGCTTGGTGATGTGGTTCTGCCTGGCCTGGAGGCTTAGGCTCGGAACAAATTCTTATTCTCATAACAGTCCTTTCTAAATTCTGTGCGACGATGTCGCGATTAGTATGGTGATCGTGTGTGATGACTTGGATAACTCCCGATTTGAGAGCTTTCTTTGGTCGAACTTGTCTGCGCTAATGCTTGATGTTGTACAAGTACAGGCCTGTAGAGCTGACATGTACTCCATGTATTACCCAATGTAGCACAACTGTGACCTGGTATCTCATGCGCAACAGAGGACATGAACTAACCATTGGAATATATTATGAACCACTTCGCCTATTTACCTTCCCGTCGTCACCTCAAGACGTACCCCACAAGTCCATTCTTCGATACAGTTCCTGCAATCACTATCCCGGTACCTTTACTTCCGGTTCCTCAAGCACCCTCACTACAGAACTGGTGCTTAGTCAACCTTCAGCAATGCCCGTCTATGTGGTAAAGCATTTGAGTCCAGAGACACATCGGAAGCCTGTTGTTCTTCGTCGAGATTATCGTCGCGAAAGAATTGAGCGAGAAAAGGACCTGAAGAGCAGGAATCGTTGTAACAGTCGGTCTTGGGTTGTGCGCGCTGTGGGAAACGATAGGACATTGAGCGTGTCTGCGTCCATCTTTGCTACAGCCGCGCTGTTCTGGCTTTTTTGGGGGAAGTAGATTGGTGCAGCAGATGTCGAGTCGTGTCGAATTGGAGTCGCAGTTGCTGGCTACCTATGCCTGAATGAAAGAGACGGAGGCTGGCTCCTGCATGGCTCTAACATGGGGTTCCCTGAGAACTGGGTTATTCGATCAACAAGAAGCGCGTCTCTACTGCTTCTGAGAAGAGTTGTTCGCTAGACTGATTTGGTGGTCCTGATTTGGTGAACGGTGGCGCCGGTGCGTCGGGGTGCTGGTGTTGGCGACTTCTACATCGATGACGTGACTCCCTCTAATGTCACAATTCACGTGTTTTATTTGTCGAGACTTCGTTTGCGATCGATGCTTCTTGCTGCAATTACAAGAGTTGTTGATGGAAACCCTGTGCTGCCTAGGGAATGTGTGACTTGACGAGGTGGCAAGGCTTGTCTGTGCGGTCGATGCACTAAAGATTTTCGTCCCCAGCGCCGATGGACCCTTGCATAATTTCCACTACTCCTTCCATCGATATCATCAGAATCAAGTGCTGAGCTCATCTATATTGAGCGCGTCTCTCTCCAAAGTTCTAAATCCAGGCAATTGGTCATGGGCCGTTCGTTTATATGTTGACGTTGCGCCGGTACGCACCGTGTGGCGCGTGTCCTGTGGTCCAATCAGGATGTCGCGTACCAAACAGAGCACTTTGCTAACATGCTCCAGTCGTTCCGTAGTATAGGCTACGTACTTCTGTCAAGATGTCGCGGAAACCTTTCCTGCGATTGAGGCGTCTTCGTCATCATCTAACTCTAAAGCTCTTTGGCCGACCTGACACATTCACAAACCATTTGAGGGTTTTCTTAGGCTACGAGCGTCGGCCAGAAAACATGTGGGAAATTGCAAGGTTGTTATCGGGGACACGCAGACCGCTACCTGAACATTTCGGTCGAAAAGCTCGTATACCCGACCTTTTTGATCGGAGAGATCAAGTTTACCTGGCGCTTGAGGCCCAGCGGTTGCACTGGCATATGCCCCCACCGTACGCCTATCATGATCTGCTTGACGCTGCAGCGAGAGTGGGCCGTATTGAAGGGATCATGGGCTACAAGTTCAAAGACAAGATGATTTGCATCGAAGCGCTCAAGACCACTTCGGCGACTACACCGCTTTATTTCAACGGGGTCGTTCATCACATAGACAAAAACAACCGCCTGGCATTGCTAGGTGATCGAGTTCTCTCTTTAGCTCTATGCGATGTTTGGTTCAAGACAGGAAATACCAATGGTATGTACTGCATATAGCTCTGGTGCTTAAGCTAATACAGCGAATAGCGGAATACACTTTGATGCAGCCGGATATAGAAAGCAGAGTTGGTTTGGGTAAGAAAGGATACGCGCTCGGTATAAACGACAATCTGCTTCTTCACGATCGGCAACCCTCCACATTTAATCATGTTGCCGAGGCTTTCGAAGCTGTACTTGGTGCTATCTACTTGGACTCTGGGAACAGCATCGAAACCGTCAAGGAAGTTGTCACCGGAATCAAGCTCGATAGTCACAAGATGTTAGAAGAGCAGATTACGGCCCAGGATCGTCTGGACAATAAAAGGCTTGCGGCGCTACAGTACTCTGATTATATGAGGAACCAAGCTGCGTACACCAGAAAAGCCCAGCTGGAGGCCAATGAGGCAGCACTGGCAGCGAAAGAAGCAGCAAAACTGGCGGAAAAACAGGTGGCAGATCAGCCTAGAGAGGAGGCGCAAGAAGACACTCAAATACACGATGGACACTCGGGAACAGTTCAGCCTCAAACTAAGAAGAAGAGCAGCGTTGCGCTCACACATGCGGAGGCCTCGAAAAATCTAGCCGACTCCGTAATCGAATATCGCAAGAATGGTCACCCGAGTGACGCAAAGGATCTGGGCCGACTTGATAGAAAAGACGCGCAACGCCAAAGTCCAGCCTCGAAGGAAAAACCATCATCGCAGAATTCCAATCAAGCATCGGATTCAAAACTGCAACGACGCGCGGTCGTAGCTGCCAACAAGCTATCGAAAGAAGGCTACCTATTAAATGATGTCTTGGAACACGATGACAAGAAAACAGTCTCTAAACGCCCAGATTTGCCAGCATCTCACGTCGAGAACCAGGACAAGATAGTCAACCGAGGCACCAAACTATCGCCGGAGGAAGAAGCGGATGAGTTTGTCGCATCGATGAAGTTTCCAGCAGAAATGGAATCATCTGAGGGCTTGAAAAGCAGTGATAAATACATCATGAGAAGAGCATGGGACAGGGCGGTACAAAGATGCTACGACAGCATCAGAAGAGGCGAGAAGAGGGACTTTGAGGGAACGTTTACGCATAGGATTAAGAAATTGGTACATGACCAGGTAACTATCGGTTCAGTATCAAACCGATCGAAAGAAACGAGGAGGCTTCTCCGCCTGCAAGCAAGGCTTCGAGGCCACATCCAAGGAGAAGAAGATGAGGATACACATCACCAGGTCAATTCAAAGGTTCCAATCAAGCTTAGTGAAGAGACAACACAGGCACCGGTGGCCATGTCACCGGAGCCGACAGCTGCGACGGCAACGAAAGCGAATCTTGCTTCTCAAGAGATAGACCCTATACGCGAGATCGTAGACACTGGACTGGAGAAAGCAGAACCTCAACCGAAGACTGGTATGAACGACGATAAGCCAGCTCGAGGACTCTCAGACTCGTCTGAGAAATCCCGTCTTGCAGATGCTGCCACCACAGAGATGGACGACGACAAGAACATACAAGTGCGCACCAAGGATGTTGAATCACTAGAAAGAGATATTCTCAACTCGCATAACAACGCATGGCAAGCGGCTGATGCCGCAGAAACGTCAACATCACAGCAGCGCAGCGGACGCACAACTCGTGCACGCCGTTCTGCTGCGGAGGGCCAGACGGAGAATCCATCTGCTCTGAACGAATTTTTCGAATCGGACACGGACAGGTTCATGTCTACCATCACGCAAAACGATTCAGAAGCGTCCGACGCCCCTCAACCGAAACCTCATGAGGAATCTGACATGCAATCTTCGGACTCTACTAAGGAGCCAGGGGAATCGTCCGCCCCACTTGCAAGGAGGACATATTCTCAACATGCCAATCGAAGCACGCGTCGTCGATCAACAAAACGTTCATGATTGCTTTTGCTCCTGGCCACAGGTACGCCAGCTGCTTGTCTATTACCGTATATGCGTCCATGCATGTGTACAATATTGTCCGAATGTATGATAGCTCAGCGAGAGATGCTTTTGCAGTTGTATATCTATGTCCAGAAGAGTACGTGTAACATATTTGTCGCAATATCGAGATCCAGAGTGCGAATCCGCATTTACCCGCTGCTGGAGCCATTGACGTCTGCTTTTGAAGTCTTGCAGCCTGGCAAAGGCATCTATCTTGACCAGCACCGCAGAAAACTTGCGATTAGTGAACTACTGAACGTGTCGCCAAGCGTCAATACGAGTTGTTGTCGTCGGTTAAGTTGGTATCGCGTCTGTGCATTAGGCGGCAACCTCGAATGTACTAACCTCTTCTCTACCAGCGGCACAGCGAGACGTCTACTAAAGTGCCATGTTCCTCGCTTCGACCCTCAACGCAAGAGGTTTGTACAACTCGATTTCAACATGGCATCCCATAAGCGCCCACGACTTCCACCCGCCCAGTTAGCCGCTATCATGAACGACTACTACACCTTCTTGACCACTTTCTACATACCATCTTCAGCATTAAAACATCCACCTCCAGGTGGTTGGCCAAACATTACTGCGGGTGCGACAAAGAGTCTGAATAAATCGCCTGTTGTCATTGAGGTCATGAAACATTTACCATACATTGATGAGGCAGAGTCAGGCGAGATGATCACGAACATTCACTACAAGAGCGACGTAGTAGATTACTCTACATACACGGAAGAGGACTTCGAGCGCTATGATGTATCGTATGGAGAAGACGGACTCAAAGTCTGCATCGAAGAGATGGAGGAGCGGAAAAGAGAAGAAGAAGCAGAAGAGGAGGAGGAGGATAATGAGGATGAGAACAACGACACGAATGAAGATGAAGTGAACAACACCAACGAGGATCCAGAGGACAGCGAAGACGAAGACACCAATAGCGATATCGAGAACGCACCGCATGACGAAGGTTACTCTTCCGACGAAGAAGAAGACTACGACTCTGACCCCGACGACATCAACATAAAAGACATCCTCCTCCTATCCATGGGCTACGAATCCGGCGGGCGAATCCTCCTCCTCGACGTCCACAAAGGCATCATCCACGAAGACATAGTTCGCTGCAACCTCGTCTCGGGGGTATGGATAGAAGACTTCTTCGACGATATGAAAGATAAGCTCCGGAGGCTGGATTGCGTACCCGTAAGAGGCGAGTTCTACGAGGGTGTGCCTGAGGTGGAGGATGATGGGCCGGTGCCTGAGACTGCGGATGAGTCTTTGGATGAACATGACGAGGAGCATGTGAAGGTATTCAAGAGGATTTATCGCATGTTTGGGTGGCCGGGGAGGGAGTATAGGAAGGATGAGGCGTTGGAGGCGGTGGAGAAGTACCGGGTGAGTGCTTGGGGTTATTGACACGGAGGGTGTGATGGGGGATGGTATTGATAGTGTGAATCGAAGAAAGACATCATAAACGAGTTGTCCTAGCGTCGCATAACCGTAGCCGTTGCACTGATTACAGTAGCAACGGCGGTGATAACATAACGCCACGCGTTAGTCCTCGCCCACGTCTCAGCAATAGTCTTCATATCCACCTTCTCAGCCCACTTCTTCGCCGCCTCACTCGCCGTATCTTTATCCGTACCCTGACCAACACCCTTCAGCACAACGCTCTCATCACGTAACATCTCTTGTGCTTTCCACTTTCCCGCGCCATTCACTCCAGGCTCCATGTACAGTGCTGTATACGGGACAATACTAGCATTTGCAAGTGCGGCAACATTGTACAGGAGCGTTACAAGAGAGGAGGAGTTATAAGAAGTATAGGAGAGAAGAGCGTTACTTATAGCACCTGATAGGATGAGAGGCGCGACGAAAACGGGTGCGAATTGGTAGGCTTGAAGCCATTGCTTTGCTAGGAGTTTTGGTGGGGCGTGCGTGATGAGGGGTGGCATGACGACATGGCTATATGCGAATGTGAAGCCTGACAGACATAATTGTCAGTGGCTATTTTGGACGATTGAGAGGCCAATCTACCTGTGTATATGGCTGGCGCGATGGTTGCGATCGCTTGAAGGATGGGCACGATGAGGCTAGATGGATCGCTCATTGTGGCTGATTACGACGTGATGGTCCCTGACATGTGGTAGAAGGAGGTTGTCGTTTGCAGAATAATGTAAAGTATGATCGAAGTGATCTGTTCACGAAGCGTAGATGTAGGCGCTTGGGGTATAGAGCTGACGTACTAGCGCGGTGTTTTGGATGTATTAGCATGCTTAGCTGCATATTCTGGAACAACAGTAGAACGAACGAGATCTTCCAAGATCTGCATGGGCTGAAGCACGTATTTATAGCATCGATATGATCTGCACCTAGGCTTTTGTGCAAAGACGATCATGTGGTTTTGCGCAGCCCTGTTGTGAAATCAGATAAGCCTTACTTGTACAGGTATACTACAACTGATCCAGCAATCCCAAGACCTCTTGCCTGAGTTCACCCAAACCAACATCCTTCTTAAACCCTAATCTCCGGCATTGCACCTCTAATTCTCTCCTGTCTGTCCAACCTCTGCCTAGTACGACGACGACTGGGTATCCAATGAGTTCCGCATCCTTCAATTTCCAACCTAAGCTCTTTGCTACTCGATCATCCAACACTAGATCCACGTCTCCATACCGACCTTCGCCGTAGATAGCGTCGTACACTTCTGCCGCGTCGCTCTCATCGACCTTTGGAGATGTGAGGACAATGGCCTCATAGGGTGCTATCGCTCTCGGCCAATTTAAGCCTTTGGCGTCTGAGAGAAGTGATGCGACGGCGCCGATGATACGCGAAACGCCGATACCATGGCAGCCCATCTGTATTGGGGAGGAGAGGTTTTGGTCTGGTAGTGCGACGACTGCGTTGAGGGGCTTGCTGTAGCGGGTGCCTAGGTGGAAGGTGTGGCCTACTTCGATGGCTTTCTGGACGTCGAGTTTTCCGTCCGAGCAGCGAGGACATGAATCGCCAGTTCCGACAGGCGTGAGATTTAGTTTGGAAGACAGAGGATTTGAGAGAGACCTATCATTCTTATCGAACGCAAGGGAGGGGTCGAAGAGGTCAATGGTATTTTTGCCCTTTCGGAGCAGAGAAGCGAGTGATGAGGATTCGATGCCAGTGTCCAGCTCGAATTCCTCTGGAAGTGCTTTCTTGACAGCGTGAAGATTGACATGCTCATGTCTCTGTCTTACGTCCGTCTCACTCTCGGATGGACGTGGTATCCATACGTTGATCTTTGTCTTTCTATCGACGCTTATACCTGTGTACGCCAGCCAGCTGTCGGTACATGACGCTACAGCTTGGCCGCTCTTTTCCACAAGCTCTTCGTTGGCAACATAGTCGCATGAGTTGCAAGACCACACATTGTCCTCGCCCTTTGGAGATACGAAGTGATACTCGTGACTTAATTTGCCTCCCATGTTGCCAGAATCGGCATCGGCGACTAGGTACGGCAGTCTGAGCTCGTTGAACAGATTGTTGTATGCCTCTCTGACTTCTTCGTAAGTCTTGAGCGCGGCTTCTGTTGAGTGGTCGAATGTGTATAAATCTTTCATCATGAATTCCTTGGCCCGTAATAGCCCTTGTCTTGGTCTTCGTTCGTCGCGATACTTTCGTCCGATCTGATACAGCCTCTGTGGCAGATCCTTGTATGAATGTATCATGCTGGCCACCAGTGCGGTGACCTCTTCTTCATGAGTTGGCGATAATAGAAAGCCAGATTCTCTCCTATCTTTGATGCGCAGGAGTTCCGAGTTCGCGGAGTAGCGACCAGATTGCCTCCATAACGATTCTGTGGTGATGGAAGAGAGCGAAAGTTTTGAAGCACCAATCGAGCTCATGTGCTTGTCGATTAGCGATTCAAGCTTATTTTGGACGCGTAAACCTAGGGGTAGAAGATGAAAGACTCCGGAATGTGCCTGTGCATGATGAGATGAATAGTGCTGGAGGTCAAGAGGTGGCAGATATATACCTGGCGCAGAAAGCCACCCCGAACGAGAAGTGAGTGAGACTCATCTGGAGATTTGTTAATCGGAATATACTCATATCTGGCAATGGTCTTACCTTGCTCGCCGTCCTGGGGTGATATCCCACCCGTTGGTGCCCAGAATTTGGATAATCTATTTCTTGAGTCGGTCTAACTCGAACATCAGCCTTGTCACCAAGAATATGGAACTTGATTGAGACGACTTACAGCTATAAATCTAGCATGTCGAAAGCCTTGTATTGGTGTTCGCTGTGATCGCGATTGCCATGCAGCTCTACGAATGCACGCCGCCATGCGCGCACAACAATGACGATATGTGATCGAAAGCACGCGAAAGAGCTTATAATTGCCCAGCCACTATGAGACGGAAAAAGAAGAGGGAAAATGTTGGATGTTCCGTAAGTGGTGCACAACAGCGGGAGATCTGCCTCCAACATGATGAGCACAGACCACCTCGAATCTCAAAGCGCATGGAAATATTTGGAGATGGAACCCATCTCTCAATTGCTCCACGACCACATCTCACGTAAGCATACCAATCCCTCTACTGCGACAGTGTCCCTCCAGAAGGTGTTAATCGACATCCAGAATGCCTCCACGGATACGCATCAGGCCACGCGCCCTCCGCGCGTGCACCTCGAACCCAACCCACCCCATCTCTGTACCCGCAATCGCAACCTACGCCACAGTAGCAGCGACCACCCCCGCACCCCCAATCCAGCAGACATACAAAGCCGCGCCGCCAGTACTACGATACCCACCCACGCAACCACCCTCTCACAAGCCGCCGGAGGTCCGCAAAACCCAACTCCACCGCCAATACCAATCGCTGCTCCGATCCTCCCCTCTGATCCTGATATTCCAGCACAACAATGTCAAAGCAGTAGAATGGATGAGCATAAGGCGGGAGCTAGCCATTGCCCTCCGCAAGCTGGATGCGGAGAGAGTGAAGAACGGGCAAGAGACGCTTGCAGAGGAGGTTAAGATGCAGGTCATCCAGACCAACATCTTCGCAAGCGCACTGCGCGTCGTCGAGTTCTTCAACCCGGAAACTTCGACAATGGATCATGCGCAACATCCTACGGACCCGCGGACACCGACGAGCGCGCAGATACCGAACACGAGTAATGACGCTGAGGACGAGCGCTTCACACACGGCCTGTCGAGACGGGCATACGAGATTGCGAATAACAGGAAGTTGAAGTTGGAATTGGAGCCTTTGCTCTCGGGGCCTCTTGCCGTCGTAGCGTTCCCCGATGTTGCGCCGCAATACCTCAAGACCGTTCTATCCATTCTCTCGCCTTCGAAGCCTGGCTTCCCCGCTCCGAGCCGAAAAGCGAACCCAGACTACTACGAACCAGCCGTCCAAGCTGGCCTCCAGAAGCTGATGCTTTTGGGTGCGAGGGTAGAGGGCAAGGTCTTTGATGTGGACGGCACGAAATGGGTTGGTGGCATTGCTGGAGGTATCGACGGACTTCGCGCCCAGCTTGTACAAATGCTGCAGGGTGTTGGTGGAAGTCTTACTGGTGCTTTGGAGGGCGCGAGCAAGAGTTTGTACTTTACTGTTGAGGGCAGGAGAATGGATATGGAGGAGAAGGAAAAGGGTCCTGCTGAGGAAGAGAAATCGTCATAGAGTCAGGTTGAGGTATGTACGATATGATTAGCAAGATTGAAGAACCTGATCCAAAACTTCGCTGGTCCACATGAGTGTTGCGATCTGTATTATACAAAAAGTAGTACTCCATGGGACGGTGCCTGGGTTCCTGAGTAGCTGGCCATCTCTGTAAGCAGTAAACTCTTCCTCGACAGCAAGTTCATCTTTGAGATGCTTCTATCATTTCCACCCTACAAGTACCGCACTTCTGATGGCTGCAAGAGACACAGATGCCTTGCCAGGTCGATATTGGTCCGTCCATACAAAAACACTACAGCGATAAGCTCGGATCCGACGAAGGATATATGGGCGTCGACTTACGCAGATCCATACGACCTCGACACGTTCTCGAAAACCAGGAACGCAGGTTTTGGGAGAGCAGACGGTATTCTCGGTTTTCCGATTCCATTCGTTCCCGTCTTGAGTATCGTGAAGATTGGATTCGCAGACCTCATCCGCCTGCTGTAGTATAGGCCAGTCAGTCAGGCTGTATCTTGGGTACCTCGTTATCCAGAACTAACCACGCACGAAGAGGGGTAGTAGCAGGCAAAGTGATGCCTACTCGGCATTCTTCAACCCGAATATCTGTTAAAGGTGTTGTTGATGACTGTCGCTTCGAGCGAAGCCTTGGGTTCCTACCTGCTGACTCCAACTAGCCACCCTATCGGGTAAGCGCGCCAATCAATGAACCCGAACCGCTTGACAAGCCACCTACCTCGACGCAATGCATGCACATAGCCCTACTATGCTGCGCTATAGAGCTATGGAAGTCTGCAGTCTTCAGCCTCGTGGTTTGCCCCGCGCTTTACGATAACTGCAGAGCGTCCCGCTAGGATGACTACCATACCCACAGCCGCTTTCTGGTGAACACCATCCGGACATCCACACCTCACCACCAAGGCGACAGCGCATGGAGAATATAATCCATACACCGCATAGTCCATGGCAGAAATTCACCTATCGACAAGAAAAAAAGCACCGTCCCGAAGACGATCTCAGGCTGTGCAATCCGGGCCAGACAAGTGGCCAGATAATCGAGAGGTTCTTATCACCCGAACGAGCCAAGAATCATCTAGACGAGCTTGTTCCGCGTCAACGGCAAATTCTGAGAGACTTCTTGAACGAAGTCCTTTCAAAAGTTCCGCGCGGGACGTATCCTTACTTACAGGACGTTGAGAGGTACAGCAACGACGATACCATAGCGCTTGTGGATGACCGGCAAAACCACGAAGGATGCGAAAAGATCACCGGGAAGCCGTGTAGCGACTGCATTATCTTCTCGAGATCAGTCTGCATTCCCGAGCTCTGTGCACGATTGCAGGAAAAGGTGAATTGACACTCACAATCGTAATGTGTGAACGGTTGCTCATGCTACGATAGAGAAGGACATACAAGGCTGAAAAGCGGATAATGTATGCTCCTTGACTGGACCATGATCTATCAGCACTACGACGTATATTAACTTCCACAGATTCATACCTAATCTCACGTCTGCAGCAGCTGTCGCTTTAGCAGCAACAGTCGCTGAGCGGTCAGCGGTCACCCTCCGGGACTTCTTACACAGATATCTGAAACGGGAGGTTGTTTTCAGCGCAACGACGGTAAGTCCGTCTACATTGTTCTCTCCATTTACTGACTGCTTAAGACATGGGGCTTTTTCTTCGAAATCCATATACCCTACCATGCAATGCGTCGCGGGCCACTTACGGGTACCGAAGATCCAAGGTTGATAGGCAACAAACGCCTCCGTAAGACGGAGCCTCTACCACTTAAACATCATTCTAGCGATCAAGAAGATCTCTATTATCATGAGGCCTTGACTTCTTCTCTCTCATGGGGTGCTGATGAGTGGTTTTGGACAGAGCTATGTTTGGTGGACACCTTCTTTGGCTCTGAGGAACGACTCAAGACTTACCTCACTGGGTGTCCGGAAGGCGATGGACTCGACCCTCCGTGTGGTGGCAGATTTCCAATGATCTCTCCGCGGTTTGACCCTAGAGAGTATTTTCTTCTCAAGCTGAAGTTTCGGACTGAACAAGTAGTCACGGAGTATAGTACGCTCATTGAAACCTTCAACAAGAGAATGGACGAATACGTAAGACGCCCGAACGCATTGCAAACGACTATCACTAAAGATGTCTAAAGGCACAAACGATCAGACACGTTTTCGAAGACGATAACAGAAGAACAAATACAAAAACAATAAGTGATGTTATCAAAACCACACAAGTCTTCATTGACGGTATTGACGGTATCGTCGACGCTTGGAATATCTTCCATCGCACTGAGCTATCACTCTTTACCAGCTACATACCCGAAAGATCGATCTGGCCAACATACATCAGCAGTATCACACGAAATGTTGCAGAACTCGACCGGTTGCGCAAGATTCTCATCACAAAGCGAGATCGCTTCAAGTTCAAACTCGATAGTGTAAGTTTGAGACCACGCACCATGTCGGATAACTAATACCGCGCAGCTCCACACCGTCTCTAGCCTCAGCCAAACAGAGACAGGAAACCTCCAAGCAAAGACGGCAGTAACCCAAGGCGACGATCTGAAGATGCTCACCAAAATGACCGTTGTAAGCTACCCCATACTGATACATCGCTCTTACACAGCTTCACAAAGAGCTAATCATGACCCTCATAGTACGTCGCCTTCCCCCTACTCTTCACAACCGCATTCTTTAGCATGGATTTCGTTACACCAAGGTACCCGTGGGCTGCATTCTTCGGGGTGTTGGTGCTGATGTCGTTGTTGAACTACATGATTGCTTCACCACGAAGCTCTCAGAGAAGGTGGAATGAGTGTAAGGCATGGGTCAATACCTTACTAGGTAATTGGACATATAATCGAATATAACACATCACCACGCAAATACGCAACATGTTTATACTTTACGATTCGATTCGTTTTATATAGGTATCCACATATGCTGCGTGGTATCCTAAGGGTATCATGAGGGATCTGCCTGCCCAAATATGCACACTTCGAAAGATTTGTAGTGGAAAATAAAAAGGACTCCCCTTCTTTCTTCGAGACAGAACTCGCGCGCACGCAGACACACACAAAAAAAGACACAAACTCAAAACGTCCCTGGCGCCCCAATCTGGATCCTCGTATATATAGGAGAGGTATAGGAATGTCGTGGTCGTCATATCCCAATTCGCTCGATCGATCGCTCGCTCGCTTCACTCCTGCCGCGCATTATGCCAATAAAGAATAGTTTGGTGTGTGTGTGAGGGAGGGATGGTGTGGAGAAGCATGTTCAGTCGAGCTCAATGTCGCCGTTGCTTTCGTGACCGATTTTTCCGTTAAACGCCGATTGTGGAGAGAGATCCGTAACCCCGATGCTGCTAAGTTGATATGTGCGAAAGGAAAATCAGACGTCGCTATCGTCGTGCGCCGCCTACTTCGACCGAGTGTGATGTTCGTTCAAATTGGAGCTTTCGTCGCTTGTTCGCCATGTTGCCGCCTGGTGTGTCTTCGCCTCCGGTGGAGTCTGCATAGTCGTCTCCAAAGCCCTCGCCGTAGCCTTGGAATGCGGCATCGGTGTAGCCGCGCTTCGAGCTAGATCGCTCTGGCCTCACTGCACCCCGGTTCATATGGTTGGTCGGTGTTGGTGCGGAGGATGTGAAGGATGTGGCTCGCTGTGGTGGTATTTCTTGTGGCTTGGGTTTTACGGCATCGTCTGTACCGAGATAGGCCTTGTATTTAGCAGCTTCTGCGTTGGGTAGAGGTCCAGGAGCTGTGCCTGCGAAGGCGTCGTCGAGAAGTCTGCTGAGGTTTGAACTCAATGCTGTGCCGTCTGCTGTCAGCCCCTGCTTCTCGGGCTCTCTGTTCTGCACATGTTGCGACTGCCAAATTTCTTCGGGCATTAGCAGCAGATCCCGGAAAACGCCGTCCATCTTAGTCGCTTTTGGCTTGCCGGCGATCTGCATCTGCTTGATATGACCCTCGTAGGACTTGCGAAGCTTGTTAATCTTCTCGCCTGTTACCGGGTCATTGCGGGCTACAGATTTGGCGAGCGGGTTGAGCCTGTAGAGTGAGATGAAATTTTGCGAGGGGTGCGGCCGTGATATCTCTATCTTCTCGTTGCTGAGTTTGAACAATTGGCTGCCGCTGATGCCTTGGGCAGCTTTGAGTCGGCCGTCTTCGGTGTATGGCGATTCGGCTTGCCGGTTGTGGTTGGACAGCCTGCGGTGACGCAACCGCGTTATGTCATCGTCGGCGCTCTCTTCCATCGTCGCATCGCCATCGCTGTCGATGTTGGCGCTCGACATGAAGCCGGCAGTGCTCGCGGGGGTCGGGAAGGGGTGCTGGTTGGATGCCGATGTTGCCGACTGGGAGAGCGAGGTGGACATGGGCAGGGAGGATTGCGGTGAGCGGTCCGACACGGCGGAGTTTGTCGTAGGGAAGCCTCCATTGGATTGCGAATTCATCGAGTAGGGTGGCGAGGTGGGCGTTCGAGGGTGAATGAGCGTCTTTGTCGTCTGGCCGCTCGCCTTGGCAGCGACGTCAAAGGGCGGGCTGGCGGGTGAGAATCTTCCTATCGAGTCCAAACGTTGCCGTTTCGCGCTGTGATCCGACATAGAGGCCGTCTTCGGGGGTGGAGCGAGAGGGGAGAGCTCGTCGGCGTGCGTGGAGCGTGCAGCGGTGGGTGAGAGGAGGGCTCGTACTGAAGCGCTTGGCGTCCTCCGCGCGGGTCGACCGCGGCAGCAAGGTGGGCGCGCTACTCGATGGTGCGCATACGAAGAGAGCGGACGGCGGCGATGGCGATGACCGGCTGTGCGTGATGGGGCGGGGCGTGGGCGTGGCGGGATGCGCAGGAGGGTTGTGGGCGGCTGGAGGTGCGAAGATGTGAAGGAGATGATGGGGTTGACCGGCGGTTTGGGCTCAGCGCTGTCTCGACTGCTCACGTGACGTGCCGGGGCCCATGGTCCGCCATCTAAAACCGCCTTTCGTCTTAGGGCGTG